CAAGCCGCATCGACTTCCATTCTGGCAAGTAACTGCAACGCAAATGTTTCCCGAACAACAGGATCCCCGTCGGACAGTTGATAACGACTATGGATTTTATAAGGAAAATAACCGAGGATTCGACGCATCACACGCCAAACGGTCGTATAGGGCATATCAACAGCACGAGAAACAGTTGGCACACTGACAACACCATATGGCGATTGGTTAGTGGGGTCCACTACCGCCAAAGCAACGTCTTCTACGCGTGCAGATTCCACAACCTGTCGTTCTCTACCTGGTAAAATTCCCAGCTGTCCCGTTCTTTCGAACTTCTTCATCATGTCTCATAGAGCTCGTGGTGTCATTGGTCCTCGCGTAAGATCTTCAGCCGACGGAATGCTCTTATCGTAGCACAGGAGTTCTCGTCATTCTGGTAGGAAAAGTTTCACTAACAGAGCTTTGTCTTTCAAAGTCGCCATTGTGCATCAGCGAGCTGGGAACAACTGCCTGTGCAAGGCGGGTCTTCCACTTTTGTAGGGCTCGTCTTTTGGATACGTTGCGCAGAAGCTTTATTTCTGCAAATCACGTTGCTGCAATATGCACATTACTAGTGTTACAGCGCCACCTATCGGCAACTTCTTGTACTAATTTTTTTTTGTGTAATAAATCTCGAGCGCATGCTCTGAAGCGTCTGCTTTTAAAATTTCATCATGTTATGACCCATACAACACTCTGCACAGGCCTCTGAGTTGGGGAAGTTTAATTTGGATAACCCTGTACTTTTGTATACTAGTTCTTCATTGTTTAATTGTTTTAACAAAGTTTTTGCCTTGTTTCAATGTGATCAAAGGCACAAGTGTCGGGGGTCAATTTTCTCAAGTAAGGATATTTAACTCAGTTCAACTCACTATGTGGAGAATTAGGGTATTTCTGAAGCAAGAAACGTGAAAAATGAGCAACGCTCTCTCCGGGACTCGAACCAGGGACCTCTCGAATACGCGCCAAGCGTGCTGACCACTACACCACAAAGTCATTCTAAGAGGGTGGGAGAAGTACCTTATATGCTTCCGATTTTAAAGGGTGACTGGAAATTAGGTGACTCAATTGCTAAATCCTATTGGAGGAGAATCATCATCCACCACCTTTTTTAGTTCGAGCGCAACTGTGGAGACATTAGGTATTTTTGAAGAAAGAGACGTGAAAAATGAGCAATGCCCTCACCAGGACTCGAGCCGCGAACCTCTCGAATACGCGTCGAGACTGTTGACCACTACAACATGAAAGCATGCTAAGAAGGCGGAAGAAACATCTTATAACTCTAATAATAAGAATATTCTACTTACACTAATTCAATTATAAATTCCGATTAGCAGATTTTATTACAAGTATGACAGAACAATCAATTAATTGTTCTGTATTCTTATTACTGATTCTTAAATAGCAATATGAATAATTTTAGCTCAGTCTTATTGAACTGTTTTTTGTAATCTTGATTCTTACTTCGTAAAAAGATGAAACATTTTCGCATCTATTAATTATTGTTAATTGATCTTTCCTTTCGGTAGCGATAATTACTTAGTTTGTTGTTTGCTCTTTCGCTTTTAAGTATTCAATTTTAAATATGCTAAATAGTAAATTTATTACAGTAGAATTCTAACTTAACTACTTTACTTTCCAAAAATATATTCAACAACCTACAAGTATATAATCTATATAGTATAGAGTATACATATATATGGCCTACATACTATGCTATTGTCCAGTACAACCAGCCATACTCAGCAATGAATAGAATCGGATAAAAATGTTAATTGCGATGAATAAAATTCCACGGTAAGCTTAAATATTTTATCTTTTGCAGAATTGTTACGAATGCACAGAAAGCTCACAATTTTATACCAAATGAAATATATTTTTCAATGAATAACTAATTAGAAGTAATATCTGCAACTAAATATGCATAAAGTAATTTATTTTCAAGAAATCTCTAGACTGGTGAATTCCAGGTAAGAAGTAAAGTAATTAGTTTAGATTAAAGGGAAGTTTTCTCCCAAATAACTGTGATACCAAGCAACAGAATTCAAATTTACCCTGAATGTCTTATACTATAATTTACTATCACTTGATAATCCGATAGTTGCGATTATGAGATTAATTAAATTCATGCTCTAAATTGCACAGCTATTGGTTTCAGTTTCTTGTCACCATTGCAGTGTTAATCTGAAAATAAGGCTTGCAATTAATGTGTTGAAATTTCAATTACTCGATTTCTTTCCTTCCTTTCAGCACAGAATTATACAAGTTCGACTGTATGCATTGTATATTTTATAAGAGTTAAATGAATAAAAGATGAAAATAAGAAAATTTCTCTATAAAGTGCTGTATTAAAAACAAAGTAAGAATTTTATAAAATGATAGTGGAGCTGCGAAATGTTCATTTATTAAAATATTCGGAAAGCTTTCATATTGTTTATATCATTTATATTTTCTCGAATTTTTCTGTTATTTTTAGTCGCAAAGAAATTTCTCATAAAGCATGATAAATATTTACACTATTGTGAGCCTTAGAAAAGATTGGTGTATATCGTCCTAAATTATTTTTTTTTTTTTTTTTTTTTTTTTTTTTTTTTTTTTTTTTTTTTTTTTTTTTTTTTTTTTTTTTTTTTTGGTCAATTCTGTAATGAATTCTATGGATGACAGTGCGGGTCCGGACCATACCGATTGTTTATAAAGCCGTTGGGGTCCGGCCTGTTTCACCTTTCACCTGTATTCTAAAAATTGTACAAAATTTAATTCCAAAATTACGCAAGTTCTGGAGTAAACAGGTAATTGCGAAATAAACAATGAAATACTTTCTTGTATTGAACTATTGCTATGATTTAAGAAAGTTTTTTTTTTTTTTCCCCCCTAAAAAAAGGATACCAGTGACAACTTTTCTGAAAACCCTTTTGCAGCAGACAAAAGTTCAACCACCCATATGCCCTCCGGGTGCATCGAAAAGAGAGAAAGAAAGAAGATAGCGTGATACAAAAGCGATACTCATCAGGAAATAATAAGTATGCAGAGAATCTCAAGCAATGAGAATGGAACGCTTTATGTTTATTTCCCCAGCGAAAGTATTCCGTTTTGATAATCCCAAGAGATCAAGGATACAACTGTAATCATAAATACACGTTGCTCATAAATACACGTACATAACGTTGCTCATCTTTATCCCCCCCCCTCAGCATTAGCTATTATACTGAAATTCTATGAAATGACTGATATATTGTGTTAAAAACTTGCGTAATTTGCATAAGAGTACGTAACTGCTGAATAGTTTTATGGATGAGTATATTAATTAGCGCAAGTATTAGGCAATTTATTACTTTTAATTACCTTATATCTATTGCACACACACATACATATATATATATAAACAAAAGGAAAGTAGGACTATTTAAGAATCCTGCGCTTAGGCTGCAAAGATTTAATTAAACAAAATAATCAAATAAATAAAATGGGAATGCTCCTATCAAAAATACCAATTAAGTAAAATTAGGAATAACAATTTGAAGCTAACATTGATTCCAATCAATTAAGTCATTAAAGTACCAGATCCTAAAAGTACAAAATTAGAAAATAAATTAAAAATTTTAAAAAATGAATTTTTAAAAGCCAAAGGTAATAGAAAAATTTGAAAAGAATTTTTAATTGTTAAAGAAAAATGTTGTAAATGATAAAACTGAAGTGAAAAATGGAATCAAAAAGAAAATTTGTCTTTCAAACACTAGATAATAGTTGCGAAATAGCAAATTCAATTGAGAGTCAATCTTCTGAAGATAAAATACAGTCCGACACAGAACTGAAGAAATAACACTTCAGACATATTTGATTTATATTAAAAGTATTTTATTAAACGAACACGCACCCGTAATAGAACAGCACATCTCTAAGCTGAAATCAATATCGAAAGATAACTGTTGTTAGTTTGCTATTCACTCTGTAAATGTTTTTTCGAAGCAGGAAAGATGAAAAATGAGCAATGCATTCGCCAGGAATCGAATCACGGACCTCTGGAATACGCGCCCAGTGTGCAGACCACCATACTACGAAGGCATGCTAGGAAAAATTTGAAGAAATCTCTTATAACTCCAAGAGAAGTCTCGATATTCCTCCTCAAAGAACTAAGGTTCTTTGACATTAATGGTTATTAGAAGATATCGCTTTTAACATTGTTTAACAAACTTGTATATTTTAGTTTTATGTAAATACGAAATTCATATTAACGGGACCCATGCCCATCTGCTTTATAAAAGAATAATACTTAAGATACGTTTTCGTCTTTAGAACGAAGAACTTCCTAATAAATCAGAAGTTTCTAAGAATTAGAATTATGAATTATCAACGCAAATTAATTTAAAAAAATTATAAGTATATAGAATAACTAAAAATTAAGCATATAAAGGCACTGTGAATTTTATCTCATGCCATAGTAAAGAAAAATATCGATGCTGCATATGAAAAATATATGAAAACTGCCACAATAAATTCCTTACTCCTGACCAAGGGGGGGGGGAAGAAGATGTATCTGACTTCCACTTTTTTCCTATGACGCAATTTATACCTGTTTTATGCACAGAAAATCCGTCAAACAAGGTCCTCTTGATGAAAACACACGTACACGAGAAACTAATACATCAGTGCTGTAAATTTTAATAAGTAAAACAATTCATATTCATTTAGTGAAATGACATTTGACACATAATTAAGGCAGTAAATATTACTATTAAAACTGTATTTGTGATGGCCTATAATTGTAGTTCTGAACCTCTCATACTTGCGCAAATACTAAGTATTACAGGCTTTCAAAAAAGTATGCAATAATTTTTAATCACTACTTTTTAAAATATTGACAAAATTCTTACTCTTAGCAAAACATTATGTTACTGAATTTTTTTTAAAAAAATAAAAAATTAATTAATTTATTTTTTTAATTTTAAAAGAAGTTAATTTTAAAAAAAAATGGAATTATTTACTTGGATAAGAAAATCAGGAATGTACACTTTTAATGTCACTAGGCTTTCGACTTGGCTGAGGGTGTCATCTGGGTCCATAGCAAGAGTCTTCATGACAAAATTTCTCGTCCTGAAAGAAAAATAATCGTAACTTAGAGAATCAAAGACATGCTATAGACACATAAATTAAAAGCTATATGAAAAAAACTGACGCATCTATTAATACGCCCGATACAAATACAGTGGAGTGCGTTGCCCCTTTCTATAGCAAAAATATACATAGCGGTATAGTCTACCCCCTTCTGCGTAACAAAATAAGTCAGAAATATGCTGTATCATTCACATGCCTATAACTTCTGTAATGTACATTTTCGCATTAAAAAGAGTTGCATAATTAAAAGAAAGGAAAAAAACACTTTTAAAAAAGAAAAACTGAAAAACCTCTTCTGCGGGAAAAACAACGGAATTGATTTTTAATTCATCATATGTCACTGCTGCATCTACACACTGCGTGCGCATTCACACGCAAACTAAAGCACTAAAAGAGAAGTATAAATAAATAAATAAAAATCCAAGGTTCTCACGCGAATCACCACAAGCCAATAGGCACGAAAAAATTATGATGTCAGAATGTGCAAACAGAAAAAAAAGAAGACAAAAAGTAGAGTTGAAGGCAAATAGTTAATGAGAAAAAGGAACTGAAGTAAATTAATTAATTAAAGTTGCATTTTTACCAATTATGAAAGTTTAGAAAGCACTAATTAAAGAAAAACGAATTACGGGCAGACGAAGCATAAATTTAAAATTAGCGAAGTCAAGTTGAAGTCAAAAGAAAAAGTACTTAAACTTACAAAAACCTCGCTAAGAACACACTGAATTTAAATAAAAAAATGCTAAACGAATCAGTACACAATTGGATTTCTGCCAATTAAAAAAATTGCGCTCGATCTCCAATACTTAAGCAGCTTTCCAAACTGTTGGACAGTTTAATGTTATTAAAGAAACGTGTTATACGATCTAAGTTTTTAGACAAGAAAGCTGAGGATTAAAAATCCCTAAAATAATAAAATTTCTAATGAAAACTTCAGAATATATTTATAAAACTTATTTTAATGAAGTGAATCTGACTTTTGGAAATTAAAATTTTTCAAGTCGGAATGAAAATAAAAAATTTCCAAATTTTTTTACAAGTTTTTAATTACTAAATTTGTAAAAAAATAATAGTATAAGAAGCCAGGGATATAATATATGTAAACTTACAATCGTAAACAGTTTAAGATTATGCTAGTTTTCGCTCAAGGCGATAATTTCCTGAACTGTAGTAATAAAAAAAATAATAAGAAGAACCACAGGTGAACACATATGTATTTGATTTCCTTATTAAGAACTTATATTATCATATTTAATAACAGAAAAGCGTAATGTCTATCTGCCCCCAGGAAAATTAGTCATAGAATGCCTAATAAAAAGCCCTAATTCATATTTGTTTCACACGAAACAAACCGCAAGATCTGAGTCTGTTCTACCTGGAATTAAAGCCAGAACGAAAAATTTAGTCCTCGGATATTTACTCAAATAAAGGACTGGTTGGCTAGATATTTTGACAAAACATCGTGTATAGTTTCATGGTGCAAAAGTCTAAAGTTATAATCCTAAAACTTTTATTTTAAAATGAAACATAAATATTGCAGCTTTAAGTTGAAAAGGTGAAATGACTTTAAGAAATTTTGTAAAACCCTTCTTTTAAAATCATGAGAACCATTCTTTCTCAGGGTAGAATTTACACATAATTTGCACTACCTTTCAACTACTGGACGAATAAACATTAATTTATGGAGCAAACGGAAAGAATTATTGGAAATGACATAGCAGTAACGTGTTGATATTTTAAGGGAAAGACTTACCTCTAACACATTCTTATTTTATAAATACGATATCTCACATGAGTATCAAATACGATACGTTATAAACTTACGAAAACAACCTGATTGAAATTTGAGCTAATGTGATAAAAAGGAAAAAAGAGAAATAGAAATAGCAAGAAAAGCAATAATAATAATACAATAATCTTTAGCGACAGGATTTAAATTCAATGTCTAAAAATCTAAAACTTCAGAATATCAAATTCACCCAGCTTGCTTATGTAAGCCATTTAGGTATCTTCAAGTATAGAAACACATAAGCTTCGATTATTTCATGCCTAAGAGGATAGTTCCTTAAATTCGTCGATAAGTTTTTCTAAGAACATTTTTCCTCAGAACGATACCCAATTTTTGTTGTTCTTTCGCTTCATCCTGCTCATAGGATGAACCACATGACCGGATGTAATACAGGAAATTGAATATATCACGACGAAGCTATTTTCAGTCATTATCAGGTGTAATAGGGACAGCACTTTATAAGATAATATACGATAAAATCAGAATCCATTTCGTAAATATTAGTCACTTTAGGAATTCGCTGTCACATTCATCAAATATTTAAAAACGAATTGTAGCAGAACCTCAGTCTATCGTTCCCGAAACCATCGTTTTCCTACATATATTCTTCGCTGTTTTTGGGTGTGAAATGAAGTACTATTTGAATAAATTATTTACTCCCGCGTCTATACTTTCGAAAATCCTCCTGACAGCATAGTATTTCCAACATAAATGATTTCGAAAAATAATTTGAAGGGAAGTGAACATTTACGAATTTAATATTCTTCTCTTTGTATTATAAATCTGACAACACAGATATGTAGTAGCAACGCTTCGCATGTAGCCCTCAACTCCTCTTCTGTAATATTCGAGTCATTTACAAAAGTTACTTGTTTGAAGGTTACAGTAAGTTTATTCCTAATAGTTTTCAATTTGGTTTACAAGATTGCCTAACCAAGAAACGAAGAAAAATGTACTACGTTTTTGCTAAAGAGTAGCTTTTAACGTAGCATATTCACGTTAAAAGTTAAAAAAAAAATTATTCATATAGGCTTCCTCACGTAATCTTCATCCATACTGACAATTTCTTTCCTCTATCCCATCAAATAGACGGCAGATACTGTATTTTACCCTCAGTATTTTCTAAACTTAATATTACAGAAGATTTAGATTCACAAAAGAGCCCGAACTGAAAGGTGGTACATCCTTCTAGGACTAATGCCCGAAAGTCGTTTTAAAAATCTGATATTCGGATTTACAAAATTCACTAAGCTCAATTAGATTATCTGGATTACAGTAAAGTACGCGAGGACTATCTCGAATAAGGGAAAGGATGCCTTCGTGGACCACTTTCAAAATCGTGAGAGACAAATTAAAAGCAAGGAGTTTTCATTTGAAGCGTGTACATAAAATCTAAAAACGTGTTAAATTTCAGAATTACTTGATATGTTCCGACAAAAATGTTTATCAATATTTTACTTTTACTTTTGTCACTTATATTTTTTAAGATACAGGATGGAATAAAATCTAAATGATAAAATAAATAAAATAAAATGTCTATTAAATACATCTGTTTGAGTACATGCAGTAGTTATTTTTCGAGAAATTTTTTCTTTTCATTAACAAAATGCCTGAAAAATTTTTAGATGCGCACATAAACCTGAACTTTTAGTCCATTTAATTCACAATATTTCGTAGAATATTTGTGAAAAGCTTCATAAAGTTACTACAGTAATATTTTAAGTAGCGTTTTTTTTTGGGGGGGGGGTTATGGAAAAGTTGAAGAAAACCAAGTTTTTCAAAAAATTGGTATAATAAAGACAAAAGAAAATGAAACAGCATAAATGATTCATCGAGCATGAAAATCAAACAGCAAAATTAATTTTACTCCCGAGCCAAGCACTTAATAGCAAATAGAAAAGTTTAAAATCATTTTCTGAACATCACCCAAACTATTCAAATGAAAATTTCTCATTTTACAGTTATTTAGAGTAGTCTGTATACCTTTAGACATCATCTTTCGGGTTCTTAAACAGAAAACTCCGGTTCACGGCACAGAATGCTTCTAAAGACCGGAGACACAAAATAAAAGTAGTTTGGGGAAACTTAATGTATAAGCTTTAAAATAAAGTAATAAAACGTTTTTCAAAAATTTCATCAAAACCGACGATATAGAATGTAGTCGGATACCTTGGTGAAAAAACCACATAATAACGGAAAAGTAAATGAGGAATTTTGTGGTTAAATGAGTAGCATGCTCTCTGCAACCTTTCTTAATGAGTTCCACATGTCCCTAAGGGTCTAATTTTCTTGGCTTAGTAGGATGGAAAACGCTAAAAAAGGCTCTTACTCTCTCCCTAATCCCAAATAATTATTTTGACACATCATATGCACACATAGTTTGTCAAATCTTCAAACAAATATGCTAAAAAGTATAAAATGCTAACAAGCTGTTCAAAATAAGTGGAACGAAATTATTTTAAGATACCAGAAAGAAAATGTCTTGTCTTAGCTCCGATTTAGCTGCTCATAGTTCTAGTATTTAATTATGAAAAAGCAATTTTTCTAAATCCAATACTTAAATAACTGCTGGATCGTTTTGAATTTCTTGCTAAACCTCAGCATTTTTTTATTCGCACGCATTTTAAGAATTTTTATTCAGTTTAAAGTAAATCTGATATTTCTTTCATAGAAAGCGGCACCAATTTAATACAACAGTTAAGAAACCATAATGCCCTCAAAATTAGAAACCACACAAGTATTCATCCACTGACTAACAGTTTGGTTTGGTTTATTTGATTATGGCAAAGCACTCGAGGACTACCCTACCAAGAGAAGGGATGCCTTCGTGAAGAACTTTCTAAGGGAAACCCATCTTGTACCCATGATGAACAACTGTTCTTGCATTTATGAATAATTTTACATCTCGCTCATTTTCAGTTCTTTGCTGTGTATATGACATGTAGTTTGCACGGCTGAAAATTTGAACATCATTGGGTGAATATGAATTTGAAATGGATGAATTATATACCAGTAACAGCAGCACTAAGGATTGCGGTATACACCAATGAAAAAAAAAGGGGACCGACTTGACGGTTAAATTTTAAAAAACTACCTTGATCAAGCATCAAATTACTATTTGCACTCCCCGACGTTCTTTACGAAAATGAATCAATAAATTGAAGATGTAGTCGAATTATCTCTTATGCTT